CAAGAGCAGAGCCGGGGCTGGACTCCAGGCTGAGGGGATGGGACCCCCGGGGACTGGACCCTCTGCGGTCCCAGGCAGTCTGAGCCCCAGGGTCCCTCGGCTCCGTGCCAAGGATGCTCTGGGACTGTGATGGAGGTGGTGACCCCCTTGCTGGGAAGTACCCGGCTTGGAGCAGCAGCGCTGGGACCACGTTTTTCCCCCTTGGAGAGACAATGCCCTGGAATGCATCCCACGCCAGGAGAAGCTCCCCTGCTCCCAGTTGGTGACTAAAGAGTCCCTCTGTGCTGCCAATTGGGGTCTGGGTCTATTTGGTGCCAAGTCCTAGAAGACATGGCTGGCAGGAGAAGCAGTTCCTAGGCAGGTTGTGTGCCTGGCTGTGATGTTGTTATGCTGGGGGCAGGAGCTGAGGCTGCTCCGGACTGGAGCAGGAGGCAGGAGAGCGCAGGGCTGGGTCTCTGTCCTGCTCCAGAGGGCATTAGCTCTGTGGGAATGCTGAGGCCTCAGAACTGTTCCCTTAGGCAGTGGTGGATGCCTGCTCTGGACCCACACTCTGCCCAGGGTGTGTGTGCTGGATGGGGGTCCAGCAGCCTGAGGAGTGCCTGGAGGCTCCATCCTGCAGGAGCTGCCCAGTCCCTGCCTTTCCTTCCAACCTAGACACCCCACCTCCATTCCATGGGGTGTCCTGAGTGGTATCACTCTGCCTGAAGGAGCCTGGCAGGATTGTCATGGCCAGCAGTAGCACCCAGCCCTGGACACTCTAGTTGTGGGGCTTCCTGTGCTGTGTTGGCACCAGCTCTGGGTTTGGATCCTGGCTCCCATGGGAGATTTTACTCAGCAGCACGGTTGGCATTCAGCCTGCCTGGCTGGGCCCTGACAGGGTGCTGGGCCCTGGGGTCTCTGCCCTGCCAGGCACGGGACAGTGGCCCCAGTCCTGAGGGTCCTGCAGGGACCGGAAAAACCTTGCAGGGAGCCAGGCAGGTCCTCAGCCCCCAGGCTGCCGTGGCGTGGCTAGGCTGGGATGTGGGCAGGATGCTGCCCTGGTTCAGAGCCCTGCAAGGGTCCTGGGCACAGCATGTGGCAGAGCCTGGCCACTGGCCTCTCTAACCTGATCTCTGTCTCTTTCTACCCTCAGGGAGTAAAACCCAAGGTGTGGTGCAAGGCGTAACCTCAGGTATGGTCTGCTCTGTCTCCCCACTGTCGTACCCCTCTGGCCCTGAGAGCGTGGCCACACTAACGAGATCAGAGGCTAATTGAGGGGCTGATGTCACTCTGCTAAAGCCTCTTATATAACTTATATCCCGCAACCAAGGATTTGCAGTGGCGGCTCACACTCCCTGCCCAGCTGCAGAGCACTGTCCTGGCCCCCTCCCCTCCTCAGCGCCCCAGCAGGGAAATGGGAAGAGCCTGATCCTGCCCAGCGACTCCCCAGCAGCTCCCCCTGGGTGGTGCAGGGCATGAAGTCACAACTGGGCTCCCCTCCCTGGCACGAGGGGGGGGGCACTGATGGGCAGCCCTGGCTCTTGCAGTGGCTGAGAAAGCAAAGGAGCAGGCGTCCCAGCTGGGCGAAGCGGCGTTCTCCGGCGCGGGCAACATCGCGGCAGCCACTGGGCTGGTGAAGAAAGAGGAGTTCCCTGCGGATCTGAAGGTGAGACCCCCC